GACAACCGGCTTCGGGACAGGGGGGGCCACGGCAGGAGGAGTGGATGGAGCTGCAGTTGAAGATACGTTGGGTTCACCATGGAAAAGACGATGCACTGCACCACTGTTGATGATGGTTGCTCCGGAGCGGGGTAGGTTCTTGCCAGCAAGCAGGGCATCCACATAGGCAGCTTCCCATTCCACATCCGCTTCAAAAGAAGATGGCTTTGACAGCATGCTGTCTCGGTATCGGATATATTTCGTTTGGGCATCAGGCTTCAAGTAGTTTACCGTGTTCCCGGTGCACAAGCAAGGGACAGTGATTTCATCTTGTGTTGCTCGCCTGAAGATCATGAGTTTACCTACATTGACGAGGATGTTGGCACGCTTGAGGACTGCCATGATATGAGGTGTGGTCGTGCCCTTCGGAAAGACGGGGGAGATGACTTCCAGGAACTGCTCGTGTGTCATGTAGAGTACTGTGCCTGAAACTGTGTCTTGTTGGCGCTCTGCCCACTCTGTGTACGTGTAGTCGTTGCATACGAACACCCGCAACTGCCCTTGCACGAACTTGGCTGCACCCCACCGTTCCCGTGTTAACATGGTGCAGCCAACATCCGTAAATCCTTTCATTTTCCTGATGGGCTCCTCGGCGAGGCGTCCATCATCATGAATGTCGGGGCGGTCTTTGCGACCGGGTTGTCCCCGAAAGAAATCAAACTCCGAAGCTTCGCGATACGAGGCTGGGGATGTGAGTGACATCTTGCGTTTCCAATAACCTCGTGTTGGGGGTTTGCGGATAGTTGGTTTTGGGGCGGCTTGTATAAAAACAAGAAAAAAACTTGCAAACACCCCTCATGCTAGGTAACGGGAGGCGCAAAGAGCCAACACTCTTGCTAGCGGTGTTTTTCCACTTCCCGGTCCCCCTACAAGTCCGATCGCGTGGGTCGTCATAGCCTTGAGCATGGGGTTGACAGCAAACTTCAGAACATCAACGTCGACATCGGCCAGAGTCAAATAGAAATCCTCTACGGGGAGCGCAAGGACGCCATCGGTACGGATAGCATGGAGGGATTTCTCTACGATCGCGACTGGCCACTGGTAGATGGGCGATTCGGCGTTGATGTGCAAGTTCTTCGTTATCCATTGAATTCGTTTCCATTCACTCGCAAGGTTGCCCGCTTCCTCTTGGATGAACGCAAACCCCTTGTCGACCTCTTCCTCTGTGAGCTCGGATATGTGAAAGCCCTTGGAACCCTCACCGCGGTTTTTTTGACATGTCATGACGTGAGAAAGTGCATACTGGCGGCATTGCCACCCCCCGAGCTGTTCAAGGAACCATTGAAAGCCCTTTCGGAAATTCATTGCGTGCCCCTGCCACTTGAGTGTGTATGGAGTGCCATGGCATAGTTGATGAATTTGTTCCTTTCCGAGCTTCATGTCCGGGCTGTACATGTGCTTCATGACCGTGACTTTGCCGTTGGACTGGTCCATAACAACGAACTGAGTAACCAGTTTGAGTTCCATGTCAGCCTTGAGGCAAAACGGTGTCGGAAGCTTGTCTTTACCCCATGTACCTGCATTGATGGCGGTCTCGATTGCAGTTTTGTCGGGAGGGGGAACATCCGTAACCACATCCACGAAATGTTTCAACATCGCCTGGTCACGCGGCAAGTCTTGGAGGGGCAAGTCCATGATAGACATACCGCCAACAGCCTGGTCTGACCATGATGGGTAAGGAAGGGGCTTGGAGAGGTACATACCCTTGGTGGCCTCGATACCAACTTCGATGGACACATCGCCGCCCCGACCAGCCATACTGAACCGAAGCACAAGGATACTCCACTACAGACGCGAGTATTCGGGTAATTGGAACCGGAATGCTGCCAGTTTTGTTGCTCGAGAAAATCTGTTTCAAGATCGGATGTGCATCAACTCATACCCTTACCCCCGGTGCGAATTGGGCAAACACACTCTTTGCGCTCTCGCGTGCATGTGTAGTTTGGCTCACTCAGTCAGCCGGGACAGAAGCAGTACCTCTTCATCCAACGTCAGCGGGGCTGTTAAACCTTTTACCAGTTCAGGCTATGTTGTGAACTATGGCAAGGTCTGATCAAGTGTTTATGCTTTTGGGGCAGTGCAAGCAATAAGCATCATGAGCAAGCGGCGGGGGTGAGCGTTATGAGCATTAGCCGTTAACAGTTTCTGAGGGCGGCCCCAAAAGCAAAAACACCTGGCATCATGGAAATTGTTGGTAAAACCAACAATTTCCATGATTGGCTAGCGGAAAATGTTGGTAAAACCAACAATTCCAACAATTTCCATGAATTTCGAGAAACCTCGGGAGCCGGAGCCATAGTTTGGAGAATCATGGAAATTGTTGGAAATGTTGGTAAAACCAACAATTTCCATGATTGGCTAGCGGAAAATGTTGGTAAAACCAATAATTCCAACAATTTCCATGAATTTCGAGAAACCTCGGAGCCGGAGCCATAGTTTGGAGAATCTGGAAATGGTTTGGAATTTGGTAAAACCAAATTTCCATATTGGCTAGCGGAAAATGGTTGGTACAACCAACAAATTTCTCCATGATTGAATTTGGCTATCTGAAAATGTTTGGTAAAACTCAACATTTCCAACAATTTCCATGAATTTGGAAAAACGTCGGGAGCCCGAGCCATAGTTTCAAGAATCATGGAAATTGTTGGAAATGTTGGTAAAACCAACAATTTCCATGATTGGCTAGCGGAAAATGTTGGTAAAACCAACAATTCCAACAATTTCCATGAATTTCGAGAAACCTCGGGAGCCGGAGCCATAGTTTGGAGAATCATGGAAATTGTTGGAAATGTTGGTAAAACCAACAATTTCCATGATTGGCTAGCGGAAAATGTTGGTAAAACCAACAATTTCCATGAATTTCGAGAAACCTCGGGAGCCGGAGCCATAGTTTGGAGAATCATGGAAATTGTTGGAAATGTTGGTAAAACCAACGTTTTCCATGATCGACCCCCCCCTCCGATACCCAGGTCTTGGGTTTCTGCTCAAGAGGGAAGAGGACAGACCTGGGTACCGGGGGGGGGGGTACCATAAATATATATGTAGGTACAAACACCTATATACCAAGGTTGGCTTGCAGGTAATTATATATGTTCCGCCTCAAATGCAACAAGTATTTTGTAACTTGGAAGTTTTGCTGCATTATCTAAGTTTCCGGGTGAGGGTCCAAAATCTTCTACGATATCCAAGAATATTGGGAGCCAATAACGAAGTGCATTTGGGTTCGAGGCCCAATAACTCCTTCTGAATTTGGGTCGCGATACAAGGATCTTATTCCCATCACACTTGTACTGTGTAGAATGAATTACCCATCATATTTCTGTCATGTATGAGTGTCATCAGTAACCCATGTCATAATTTTCAGGTGTTGGAGCCGCTTTCCTAGGTGGTGGACAACAATAGCAAGCGTGAAATCTTGACAAAGGGATGCTTCGTTAGATAGGTCAGGATTGGTGGCATACTGGAAACCCTGAAATGATTGAGCAACACTGGATTGGGAGTGCCAAAGGCCGAAGGCCCCAGGCATCCTCTGCTTACAGACATGCGCCCTCCGGATCTCCGTCCAGAAGGCCCCTGGGGGCGGGGGGGGGGCGCAAAAAAAAAAAAAAATGGACCATAGATTTTGCACACATTTTTTTTTTTTTTTTGCGCCCCCCCCCCCCCCCCCAACGGCTCCAGGGCTCCAGGCCTCCATGCTCCAAGGCCTAGAGCCACACCTTAAGGCCATGCCCTTATGTCCTTGAAAAATTTGTCCCATAACTTTATCTCTCTCGGACCGGTGTTCAGTTATGCCCGAACATTTTCAAATGGTTTGGTGGAATTTGTTGTCAATTCACAACACGTCGTAAAATGTTGTATGCTGCTAAAACAATGTTGCGGGAAGCGAAGAGCTTGCTGAATTTGCCATCTGAGAGTGCAAGTGAAAACACGAATACACGAAAAAACACGCCACCAGGGCGTGATGTTCTGGGAGGCTATATTGATATAGGCCTAATCTTTCGGCTATAAATCTTATCAAATTTTCATATATTTAATTTCTTTTTCGAAAAGCTAGAGATTCGGAAGAATTTTATGAACTCCTTTTATATTCATCTTATTCGAATTTCGATATGAATATTCGAAGCATAAGCTAGAAATGATACCTGTGATATATCTATCGAATTATGATATATATTTATAGATAGATATATGTATATATATATATATATAGATTTTATTTATATTATATAAAATCGAAATTATTATTTAATACTATAAGTATAATCTTAAAATTTTACATTTAGCCGGATTCTATCGAATTTTCATAATTATATTGTGGAAATTATATCACAGAAATTCAATCTATAGAAGAATTGGACGAATGAATCTTCTTCTAATTGGAAAAATTTTCGAAAGAGATTATATGAATTTCATGAATTAAGAAATATATAGAAATTAAGAATCTATCTATTTATCTATTTAAATATTCAAATAATTATAGATCCGATTGATATTATCGAGAATTTATTTCGACCAAAAATATTCGACTTTGTTAATCTTTAATAGGATTTCGTCGCAATCGAAAGATTATTCAAATCATCAATAGAGATTAATATTTCGTTCCTATAATGAGAATAACGATATGGGAATTTCTGAAAATAGAAGATATCTTATTATAGAATTCTTATAATAAAGATCCCATTATTTAAGATATATATTAGGATCCCCTATTTTCGGAAATTCTCATATATATTTTTATTATGTCTATTTTATATCCTATAATTCAAATAATTATACGTTCGGAATTTCCATCAACATACGATATATCATGATATTTACCTATTAATCCATATAACTATAATATTTCATCAAATTCGTATTCGATCTCATATCTGAATATTTAAAATATATATCTTATATCCTATATATAATCCCAGAGAGCAGAACAGAGAGAGATATTTAGAGATAAAGATATAAGAAAATGAGATAGAGAAAGAAATAAAAGAGAGATATAGAGAGAGAAAGAGATAGAGATATAGATAAAGAGATAGAAATACGTTGAAAGCAGAGAGAATCGTCCAGAATTAAATAATTTTCTATTGAAATCCCTTCTTAGTAAATAATTGAGAATATTTATATGAAATTTCCTATGAATCTCATAGAATTAGCAGATCATTTTTATGAATATCTCATAGAATTTCATAGATCGTAACCCTATGAAATTTCTATAAAATTCTATATTTTTTGTTAGATTAATTTATTGTCTCGCTTTTCATATTTATTTTCGTGATCAAAATATTCACGATATATATATATATATATATATATATATATATATAATAACCTCAACGCAACGTAAATAACGCCCGCAAATCACGCAATATATGCAATGCGCACTTATACAACACACAACACGCTATTACATGCCCAGCATCACACCCACGACCACGCACAACGCAACCACCAACACACGCACTACACACACAACACTACGCACCCCCTCTAGAAGGCTCGTCCAATGTTGACATAAGCACATGTTTCTAGGATACATATTCTTTCAGAATATTGTTCAGTAATATTTCTCAAGAAAATTAGATGTATAATTGACCAAAAAGAGTATATATATATATATTCATAGGGTTTGGGATCGAGCGGCCCGACAGAGGGCCAGCATTGCCTAGAGCCCCAAGTGCCTGCGACGGCACGATCAACGGCAAGGACATCGCTGCTTCACCCCCCTGGCATCGGAGGCAGCGGGCAAAGAGGGCCAGAGCACGCAGACTCATCCGTGAGGCTCGTGCGAGTGGACGCCCTGGACCGGCAAGAGCCGTCCGCCTACTACATCAACACCACACGAAACCCCTCTACCGTGAGTTAATGGGACGTGGGAATCGCGAAGGAGAATGGCGTCGATGGCCCAAGTACTCAGGTGGAGATGGTGGTGGGTGGCATGGCTATCGGTCGGAGGACAAGTGGGCCCGGCAGCGTGGCGATCGCGAAGCTCCACGGCACCCGACCTTGGATACCGTTGCGATCCCCCAGGAGGGGAGGTCCACGGCTGCCAGTTCGGCAGCCAGGGATGGCGAAGCAGTGGCAGCTGCTGCTGGCAGCCTTGTGAAGGGCGTGCAGAGGCAGGTGAATGCCGTCCGGAAATACGAGACAAGAATCCGGAAAAACGAGACGGAGACCAAGGATTTGGAGCAGAGATGGGCTGTGCTCAAAGAGGAGATGAAGGCCAACTATGTACGCGAGAAGAACAAGTATGCCGAGAGGAAGGCAGCTCTGGAGGCCGAAGGACAGGAGCAACGGACTGCTCTGACAGAGGCCTTGGAAGAACTCCAAACTGCCATCGCCAGCGAGGAGGAGGCCAAGGTGAACAAGGTGATCCCTGGCAGAGAGGCAGCCGAGGAAGAATGGGAAAGACTCCTCAAGTCCCCGGAACAGGACAGCCCAGGTCTTTCGGGTCTGTTGGATGCGGCGCTGAAGCTTGCAAGCTCCTCCAGAAAGGACACCCGGCAGCGGTTGCTGGAGGCCCTGGCGGGAGAGAAGGAGCTGCTCAGCACACCACCGAGGAGGACTACCAGATTGCCAGACCACACTCCCCCGGCTGCAGAAAGGCGAGGCCACTGCAGTGCAACAGAGATGGAGGTGGATGGCAATGGCGGAGCGAAGAACACCTACAGTGCTGGGGCGGAGGTGGGACCGCCGGATCCCTACATCAGGTCGCCTTCGGCAAGAACGAACGCGATGGCTATGGGGCATGGAGACAACCCGCATCG